TTGAGCTGTTTACTGAAATTTTAATTTTTCAACTTTTTCTATAAATATCGATTAAAAATTATTTGTTGGGTAGAAAAGCTTGAAAATTTAATACAAGGCTTCTARCACATTGTAACAATAGCAGTCGAAAAATATTAAAAATACATAGGCACGATTTTTTTTTATAAGCGTTTAAAATTCAAATTTCGACTAAATACATCAAAATTACGGCAATGTTCAAATTATCTTAGATAGAAATTCATAAAAGTTTTTCCTTTTATATCAAAGATTTGAAAATTTAATACAATGCTCCTAAAATATTTTTACATTTTTAAGCATTCGAATTTTAATTTTGACAACATACGTAAAAATCACGAAAATTCGCAAATTATTTTATGCTAGAAATTCATAAAAATTATTCTTTTTAAATCTAAGCTTTGAAAATTTTTAATAATCTATAATATATCCTAGACAGATAAACCCGTTTCCGCTTAGAATCGTTTTTCGTATACAATGATATAATATCACTGAATTCAAATTTAATTCCATCCATTACAGTAACCCACTTATAACCTTCTGTACAGCAGAACGACATCTACGACCTACCCGCATTTTTTTAAACTGCTATTGTAACAATGTTTTAGGTATCTTGAATTACATTTTCAATCTTTTCTACCCAACAAATAAATATTTATCGATATTAATTTAAAGAAAACTAATAATGATCGAAAATTTCATATGCCTATAAATAGTTCAACTTAATTTGACATTTTTTGAAAATTGCATGGTGAATACTGCAGATTGTTGACTCAGTGAAGCGATTAAAGTATCTATATATGTTACCTGACTGTCACTCGACGAAAATAAGTCGCTACCGACTGCCGACTACTACAGTTCTTTATAATATATAATTATTATTATTATTTTTTTTTTTATTGTTCAAATATACTCGGCAGCTACATGGCCATTAGTTACAATAAATTATGGTAGGTTTACAAGATTTGAGATTTTAACAATATTTTTTTTTAAGAGGTATTTGGCGTAAAAGTATAGTTTCTTAGTATTTATATAAAAAGGAAAGAAACAAAAACAAAAAAAAAGAGGAAAACAATTAGAAATTATTAAATTAAGTTATTTCATGGTGGATAGAATATATTTATATAAACATTCAGTGAAAATTTCATGTATCTATGATCATTTGTTTTAAAGTTACATCAAAAAAAAATATTGATTTTGTCGAAAACTGATTGCGCGTAAAATTTCCAGTTTTTCCTTAATTTTTAGTTTGTTTATCCCGATTATTTAGAAGAATATTAGGAATTTTTTACTTTGGACCCCCCATAGTACCAACTAGATTTATTTTCTGATCAAATTAGGTACCGGAGTAAAAAATCGAAGCACTTTTACTACCCCAAAACGTGATGACAGACACAAAAAAATTAAAAATTAATAAATAGTAAAAAATAAAACACGCATCATGGTAAAATTAATACATTCCTCTCTCCGCTCAGAATCTAATATATCTATCTAATTTAAATTAGGACCAAAAATTGCTTTTGAATTTTTTACTAACATATATAACCCCATGAGCAGTAGCGTACCCAGGATTTTCGAAGGGGGGGGGGGCTAAATCTATATCGGTATTCGGTACCATAATAAATGTAACGTTTATGCATTGCTTATACTACCTTGGTCATTGTTACTAAAGATAATACGTTGTATTCAATACCGTTTTTTAGAAATATCATGGTTTGCACTTTGTCTTTTATACTATAAAATGTATTCCAAAACGCGGCCAATGAGGGGGGGCTGAAGCCCCCTAATCCCCCCTCCCTGGGTACGCCACTGCTCATGATGATATATATTTACATAGTATTATTATATTTCTTTAAACAAAATATAGATATAATTTAAATGGATAGATGGTTAACGATTATGCGTCAGTAATGAGCATATAAATAGTAAAGATATATTAGGTTGAATAGATTGGCGGCAACAGTGAATTTGATGATGACAGAACAATGTTTATACTAAATTTACCAACGTATTGTTATCAAAAGGATTACGATGAAAGATAGTATGAAACACTTAGATGGCCGCAATATTAATTACATGCAATAAATGATATTATAACATACGTGTTTTAAATCAGTATACGTTGGTCGTTGAGTGATAATCGCATAAACTGATTCAATTGAACGTCTTAGTAAAAATTTGGTATGTTTTTTTTTTGAAAATTGTGTTAATGTTGAGTACATTCTTCTTATTTTAACTTAAGAATAATTAAATTAAATATAATATTAATTTCAACAAAACAAACGGACGAGAAATAAAATAATTTTATTATTTTTAACTATTCGCAGGCATAAAGAAAATGTTTAAAAAAAATTGCAATGCCTTTGACAAAGTAAAAAAATATAATAAATAACTGTTGCAGCCTAATTTAATAAATAATGCAAAAATTAAATATTTCTTGTTTTAACATCGGCGTGATATTTTATATTTTTAAATAAATAAAGCAATATTTGTAATTAAATATTATTTATTTAATAATTTTAAAAGGTTTTTTATTATTCAAAGAGCAAATTACACTATTTTGAAATTAACTACTGATATCTTGAATTTTCTTGAAAACTAAAAATACCAATAATCTCAAAAATACACAAAAAGTTAATGAATTTAATCAGAAAAGTACATCGATATGTATTGTGCTCGTATGTATAAGATTAATTTCAAAATAATATTGACACAATTGCTACTTCCATAAAATCTAAAATGATTATAGTCAAGTTTAAAGTATCTATAAAAAAATAACTTATTATTTAAGTGTCAATAAATTATACTGTTTGAAAAAGGGCATTTTCAGTTCCTAAATAAGAAATTCAAATAAATTAGTTGCTACCTAAAAATTTCTTTTTTTTTACAAATTCTAGTTTAATAAAATATTTATTTTTAATCATAAACTGATAAATGAATTGATAAATTTAGTACTTTAGATAGAATACCCAATACTTTATAGTCTATTATAAGCAGGTACTCAAAATATTAGATTATTATTTTATGTTTGAATTGAACTAGAATATTGCAATATTGGATAACTTATACTACAATATTGTTGTTATTAATTAATATTATTTATTTACAGAACAAATAACAACATGCCATTTAATAATATAGATGGAAGTAATCATTATCAATATGGCATAAAATCAACTTTAGCTCAGGTAAGTCTGTTATTTATAATAATTAAATAAACTCAAATTTTGTGTTAATTGAAACAGTGAGTGATACATAAAAAAATAAATAAAAGTAGCCATACTAAATATCAATATAATATGTATTTATTTAAGTGCGATAATTTATACGACGATTCAATGTATACATTTCTAAACAGTGTTGGGCAATATCAGGAGTTTGGTTCTTGCAAATAGCACTCGGTGCTCAAGTCATGATATCCACTATAGTTATTGGGGCCTTAGAGAATAACGCATCCAAAGACTCAAACGAATTTTTGAGAATGACAAGTGAAGAAGCATCTTGGTTCGGTGAGTATATCAATCAAATATCAATACACAACCTCTATTAAGCAACAAAATTCATCCATATGGATGGTATACCAGCTATTTTGTTTCAACTAAAATACAAGAATAGTAAATTAATAAAACAAAAAGTAATTTTAAGTATAAAATGGTATACCTAAATGATATTGGAATTTTTTAGTTTCACCTCCATTAAATTATTAAATTATTAAATTATTCAACCCCGAATAGCTCTTATAAGCCAATTAGTGATTACTAAAACAGTGCAAAAAGAATACTTTTTTATAATCGTATTAAAATAAATATTTTAAAATGTATTAAAAAATATTTTATGACATTTCAGCTAGTTTGTTATATTTGTTCACACCTGTGGGTAATATTCTATCTTTGTTTTTACTGGACCGATTTGGCCACAAGAAGTGTATGATACTGACAAACATACCGAGCATAGTAGCTCAGATAATGTTGTACTTTGCCGGAAACATAGAAATGCTGTACGTCAGCTCAATCCTGTTGGCGTTAACTTTAGGGTTTTCTAACGCTCCGAGTTTTGCGTACGCCGGTGAAGTGTGCGAACCAAAACTAAGAGGCGTGTTGATTTCGGCCACAAACATATTTTATTGTGGTGGATCCATAATATTGATTATGGTGTACAGTATTACCATGCAATGGAGATTGACAGTGCTATTGACCACGGTGTTTCCAATTTTGACTATTGCTTTATCATTAACGGTAATCAGGCATATGCAATCGGTATTTCCTACGGCTCAATAATAATCAACCAAAACCATGATACATTTTAGACGCCAGATTCTCCGGTGTGGTTATTGGCCAAGGGAAAACATTCAAAAGCTCACCGAAACCTTAGCAGATTGAGGGGAAAAGTTTCGTACGAAAAATGTGAAAATGAATTTCAAGAAATGGTCAGATACAATTCGCCCTCCAAAAATGACGATCCGAGTAATATCATTAATTTTCCATTACACAGATTATTTTATTTTATTGTAGCTCAACAGGTCGTCACATTTTTATAGATCGTAAAGAAAATATTATAGATAATTGGAAACAACTGTTTGAGCCCGAAGTCATGAGACCTTTTCGTTTGATCATGATGTATTTCTTMTTCCAGAATTTAGTGTCTGGATTGCCATTATTACCATATTTAGTTTCAATACTTCATAAATTTGGAGCGCCAGTTAACGTTGAATGGACAATAGTAAGTTAGCCAAGTAGATTTTAGTTTTTGAGTTGCCTACTTGCCTATCACATTTTTACTCGACTAACGTTATTTAAATATTTTGTTTAGTTTTTTTAATGCATTCAATTTTATTTTCAGTCATTCGCTATGGCTCTTTCTGTAGTAGGGAGTTTAATGGCGGTTKTTTTAATACGTAAATTAGGCAAACGATTTCTCACGTTATTTACGTTATCGATTTGTTCTATTTTATATATAACAATTGGGCTGATCGGTGTTTATTGGAAAAATGCAGAACCAATAACCTCTTGGATAGTACTAGTACTTTTTCTTACTACCATTTTTATTTCATCAGTTGGAATAGTGCCAATCTCGTGGACCCTTGTAACAGAAATTTTTCCAGCAAAGTAAGTTAAAACTGTATTAAAAATTAAACGTATATATTTTATTACGATATTTTTATATATTTTACCTGAATTTATTATTTTTAACACAGTTGAGCAAAACAAAATGTAAGAAATAATTACTATTGATATTTTTTTCATTCATTTTAAAATATTTTTAAATTTTTAAATTACTATAAATGGTCTAAAAAAAAATTTTAACTCTAAAAATTTTAATTTCTAGACAAACAATTATGAATGATTCTAATAAAGTAATTATTGAATTTTGTTCACTTGTATTAGGTAAATTTATACTATATTTTCAAATATTTAAATATTTAGTTCTTTTTTAAGGAGTATTTTATTGGCGATACAAACTTCGTTTTGTTTTAAAATAAAAATAATTAAATAATTAATTATGGATTACACCAAGGGAAAATATGGAGTGAAGATGCTTGATAATCACTTTGCAGTGGCGTAGCTGAAGCTCAGTCAAGGGGGGACGATTTCAAAACTCAAATATCACAAAAGACAAAATTTATCTTCGTCACTAATAAGTCATATTTATTTGTATACTCACAATTTTTTTTTTTTTTGAGTGAACCTCTTAGATAACAATGCAATGAACAGATGATTATATTATTATTATTTTTAGGCCACGATAAGAYGTTGATAAAATAAAATCCAACAAATAATTTAGCCTATTACTCTGAGAGCCTAATAGCCKTAATGTAATAAYCACCTCTGAAAAATCCAAGGGGGGGAGATCCCCCCTCGCCCCCCCCAGATACGCCATCTGTCACTTTGTATAATACAATACTTACTCAAAATGTATAAAAAGTTTTTATTCTAAACGATAATTACATTTTATATTTTAATTTGATTATAAATATTATATAGAATAATTTTCTTCTTAAATTATAGTTTATAATTTATATAATCAATCATGAAAATAAATTTTTATTTTTATTTCAGGAGTAGAAATATTTTGTGCAGTATTTGTACGTGTTTATTTTTTATCATAACCTTTTTCTTGACAAAATATTACCCGGATTTGTCAATATTATTGGAATTTTATAATGTATTTACTACAATTGGTATTGTTGGTTTATTTGGCTGTGTATATTTTTATTTTTGCTTACCAGAAACTGAAAACAAAACCTTACAAGAAATTTCGGAGTTTTTCAAATAAAAACAAACGCTCAATCGTTTTATTTTTTTTTTTAAATTCAATACTGGTGAACTTTGTATGTACAAAATGTTTTTTAATTATATTAAAAACTTACTGATTTTCATTACATCAAATCTCGATGGATTACGAGGACAGAAAAAAATGTAGGTATACAAATATAATATGGTATACTGTAATTTATTGTATGCACATAGTACATAAACATAAAATGAGATTTAGATACATGCATTATTCAGATATTATATTATGTTAACAATGATAAAGTTTATATTGAACGAATATCTTTGTATGTATAAAACAAAGTTTTTTTTTTTATGTCTTGGATAATATCGAAACATTGTTAATTTTTAAATATTTTCTTTTATTGTTATGTTTACAATCACATACATACCTTGATAGTTAGTACGATAAGATCAAAGCAAAGGCCACGACCAGTGATGATAGTCATCTATCATCAACTATGCTTCAACTTACCATTGTCGATAGGTACCTAACCTCAACTAACCTTCTTRTGACTTATTTATCCATCTGCTTGTCACGCGGGGAAGGCAGTACCGTAGACAGGGTTAGGATTTGGGGAGGGAAAAAGTGTATACAGTACTATACACCCAATATCCCTTTGAGAAGGCTGACTACGACACTGGGTTTCATAAGTATCAATCTGAATAAGTATTTGAGTAACGCGTGGCAAACGGATGGTTAACTAGAACACTTTGAATAAAAAGATCCTTAGTTGGTTTTTGATATGTGTTTGCTTATCTAGTTGTACTATTGATTGTTAACCTCTTAGGAATACTTCTTATTATTAAAATATTAGGCCCTTGAAATACTTTCTTCCTACTACATTTTTAGGACTCCAGTGCCAGTACCACTTAGATAATATATTATGGTTAGAGCCCATCTTGTTGGTGTATATAATTTTAAGCTCATATATTTAATACGAGTGTCTAGCGGAGATGAGTGCATATAGGTGAAGGGAAACGTCATGGATATAGGCACATCCATAGTGGGTACATACTGTCTAGTTCTAAACAAAAAATATGATCTAAACTAGGAAGTATGATTGAACGTAAATTATAGAAGTATAATAACTAATAAGTATTAAAAATATATTTGATGTATTTTCTCCGACTCATATCTCCTGTTGTAGAGAATTTACCTATTATTATTATTAAAAACTTATGATCCTATTGATAACTGCTGAACATAATTTTTTCAAGTTTTGCACTTCTAACAATAACTGAATACTTGGACAAATGAGACGTCTTCATTAAAACGAAACAACTTTTAAATATAAGTTAAATTAGGTATTATCTAAATTATGCCCTCTTCTAACACTAAAATTATTATTATTATCTTTTTCGGTCCCCAATAACGTCATGTGGTATTATGATTATTTTATTTTAGATGGTACCTAAAAAAACGTCCCTCGACACCAGAAGTTGAATTATTACGATTTTGAATATTCTTAAAGTGAAATCTAAACAAATGTTTTTACTCAATTTTTTCTAAAATATAATTATTATTTTTATTTTTTTCGACATAAAATTTTGCTGTGTGACAGTTAATATTTACGTCACAGTGTCTGTACTCCTTATGAGGTAAAGATAAAGTGTCCAGAAGAAAATTTAATCGTCTAAAAATATTTCAAATTACATACTTATTGTTAGTTATAATTATTGAAATGTTATACTATGAACTATAATATTTTTTATAGACTTAAACCATGTACAATTGGATTTGTATTCTTTTTATTATTATAAAATACACTTTTTTTTTTAAAATAAAAGCATCGGCAACTATGGCCATATTACTTGTGTTACTTTAGAAACACGTGAACATCTGGGGAAAGGATTCGTCACTAAGAACCCAGGGGTCACCCAGTTCATGTCTGCTTTAGTGCTAATTGAAATTTTAATTTTAGAATCGACTTTAATTTAATCGACTGCCTCTTCTGAAACAACTAAGATGATTGCCATAGATTATATTATACGTCAATAAAGTAAATCCAAAGATATATGATATTTTAATTTTTAATAAAACTTTTCATATCATAGAGGTTCATGTTTATGAATTATTCATTTAAATAATTAAATGTGTTATAACAATAACAAAAAAAAGTTTGTAATTTTAAATTGAAATTATAATAATATAATATATTATATTAATATTATTTTTCTTAGTTTAATTGTTTGGTTATTGATTAAAATCATGCTTTATATGCATTTTTTATGCAAGTCCTTATGATATAGTCATATATATATTAGTTGAACATTAAAAGTTATAATTAACTATAAATTAACTAATTTAGGTTAGGTTAGGTTAGTATCTAATCATTGGGGGCAAAGTACTCGGGTATCGTAAAACACTTCTCGTTAAGTGAAATTAAATGTACATCAATTTGGAAAATGTATTTCCATTTGCGTTAACTAATTAATTTTATGTTAAAAATTCATGTTCCATCGACCGTTGTTCTAGACTACTTACCTAGGTATCGAATATTTTCAGCATTTTCGGTATTTCCATCCTGAAATGATTGACTCTTCTCTCCACCCTGTCGGGTGCTTGCCTTGTAGATATTTTTTGATGATGATTGATTGTACAATGTGTTTGTTAAATAAGAGCATAAATGCATATTTTATAGTGCATATTTCTGAGGTTTTTAGAGCATATAAATCCGGGCCCTTTATATTAATAAGTAATATAAAGGTACCTTCGCGTAGCTGTTAATTAGATGTATATATAATTATAATAAAATCCATTTAAAACTAAACCACATGATTTATGTAATTATAGTAATTATGCTTAACAATTATTTATAATTCAAATTAATAAGCACCTTTGGTTTACCAAAATGGTTGGCTGTGTAATTAATGATTTATAATGGTAATAATTATAATCTATATTGCTGTATTTCTGGTAAAGCGGTTATAAAATAAATAATAGAAATAAATCAATGATAAAATAAATAAACTATTATAAAAATGATTCACAGCAAACCAAATAGAAAAATATCAATACTTACCTGTTTGGCATGACCAAATAAAATGTGTAAAATAATAAACAATATAAACCCAACATTTGTGGAATGCAAATTGGTCAGCTATTCCTTGTCTTAAAAATAAAACAAATATACAAAAAGGTACGAATAAAATAATAAAATATGTAACACAGATCTTATGGCTCACAATGATAGATTCGATTCGATGGATAAATTTGCGCACACAAAATACAATTTAGGTGATCAAAGTACAAATCAAAGAAATAGAATAATAGAAAAAATATTCATCTATTGTCACCTTCCGAAAACACATAAACTGTACATAATAATAATACCAGTTTTGTTTTTTATTTTCATTGCGAGATTTGTATTACACACTATTTACATTGGTAATGTTCCTTATTGCTCTTCACGATACCACTTTATATTCAGCAGCATAATAATTTATATTTATTGCTGGCCGATAAGTATAGTTATTCGTAAAATGTTCGTACATTAATACATTATCTATCTATTAATTATTACAATAATACATTTCCATAGTCACACAATACACAAATAAATACCATATGAATACTTTTGGGTAGTGTAGTGTAGTTTTCCTAACTTAGTTTTTAACATAACATTTGGTTCATCGACTTCATCGGTTACAGTTGCATCAATATCTTTTTGAGATATAAAGTAGAAACTTGTGTATAGGTGGGACTATAGGGGTAGTACAAAATACCTACATAATATTTTCATATTAATTCATTTTATAGGTACAACAATAGGTATAACAGTTATCATTCAAGATTATTTTTACAACTATTAAAATTGAGTATCTATCTACATACTATATCTATACGTGGTGCTATTACCGAAATATGAACTTTTAATTTATTTGTTTATATTTAATTAATTTATACTAACTATTTAAATTTAACGCATTGATTCTAAAAGGTATAAACCAATAAATGCTAAGACCTTTAAAACAGTTAATAACTATATATTCATTTTGGTTGAATTTGTTTTTCCTAATATTATAAAACACTATTAAATTTATTTATATCGTCAAAAATGTACATTTATAAATGGAAGGTGGTGGATAATAATTAACAACAATAAGGACAAATATTCTGAATTTGTTTCTGAATAATTGGATATTAGGTACAACTGTACAAGTGCTGTTAGGTATTATCGTACTCTGTCAACTATCTATTAATAGTATATAAGTATTAGGTATAGATGTATAGTAGGCATGTCGATTGTTCAAAAGCATAATGAATTTAGTTTAGTGTTTGTTTTCTAGTAGATTTTTATTTCATAAAATATTATCATATTATAGTGTTAAAATATAATGGAGTGTTAGAATAGAATTAATGTATTATACGCGTTATAAACACTACACTTATATTACATTTCATTTTTTATGATAAATTCATAAAAAAACAATAAACGAAGTATAACGTGACTGATTCATGGAGGCTTAGTTGGATTAAACAAACACATTAGATACGCACACGTATCAATACTAGGTATGTAAATATCATCAACGAAGTGTGGCAATATCCACACTATTAAACAATACTTCATATTTATTTTCTTATATATTATTCTATAAACTATTATATATGGCATGTAATTATGCTGCTTATTTTTATAGAGATTCAATTTGTGTATTACAAATTCATCTAAGTAAACAGATTTGATAATATTTTATAAATAAAAAATATGTTTGAAATAATGTTCTAAGGAACTTTTGAATAATATAGATGACGTAATGTGCAGTATCTTTCCTTGCTGGTATTCTTTGGAAAACCGAAGACATATTTCGACAGACAGAACATTTCGAGGCTGAAAAATATTCGTTCGAGACTCTTCCCTCGGTTATTTGTCGTTCTGCAGACCACTCTTCAATAATATTAACTTGAGGACGATGATGCCAAACAATTCAATCGAGATATGAACAGCACAGCAGATGAGTTGTAATTAACAAAGTTTTATTGACCGATGGCGAAAAATATTACTGCTTTATACCTTTTGGAGCATATTTCGCAAGTCCGTATAACCATTGTGTGAACCACGGTAGACGAATTTATATCACGGTCGAGATCACATACCTTAAACGACGGTCTATAATATGGTTTACGTTAAAAACAAGTTTCCATTACAACGTGTCGTGTAACGTGTTATGTCGAATGTTATCAAAGAAAAAATTGGAGTTTATCGATACGTATCGATTTAATTTTGAGTGTTCAAGAAGTTACACGTTCAATATACAAGCGACACGTACCGGCCTGTATCGGGCTTAGACTTCGATACGAGTCGGTGCGTAACTATTCTCAGTTGATACGTATCGAATTCTTCTTCTTGAAAATCTTGATTCATAATATCGAAAACGAMAYGAAACGGTTTAGTAGAAATTTTTCTTTAAATCCAGGAGGATAAGTGATAATAGAATGAAATATTTACCTTCGGTCTGCAGAACAGAACAGAACCGTTAMGGTTAAACAAAAATGGYGGTKTTCGATATTTTTGYTTGCATTACTCATTGTATACAACTATTTGCRCCTGCAACTTTCGTGTCACCGTTCACCACTGCGTTAAGTTATTTGTTAATTTTCCACYGAAACGAGTCATTGTAGTAAATAATATGTGAGCATCAWCACTTCCGATTCAATGAAACGGCTTCACCTATTTATGAGTACGGGCCGAGGGCTGCGCATTAAGGTAAGACTAACATCAATCACCGATTTAAAATACTATATTCAAATTANAAAACAATCGTACATAAAAATTAAAACTGTAAACAAATATTATTTTAAGTTATAACGATATGTTATTTCTTATTGTTTTCCAACATATGATTAAAAACTGTCTACGATTCTTAAGCGATTTGTATTAACTAATAATTTTTTTGGCACGTTTGTTTTTGGTAGTATTACCCATTTTTTATTTTAAAACGAAATTTGACCATTTTAAAAAAATAATGGAAACACGCCGAAAAAATAAATTTTTATGTAGAACATAGGTAGGAACTATACTAAATTCAATATAATGGAGTTGGCAATCCGGGGTTCTTGGAACCTATTTTTAGCGGCCCTCGAAGGCTCCAAAAATATATATCATGGTAGTGTTTAAAATTTTAATTTTATAGGTATCTTAAATAAAATCGAATCATGATTTTTATAGTTTATGAATATAAGCTATGAGCTTATCTCCCATTGTTCTCATGTTCTCACAAAATATAATCTTTTATGACAATCATTTACATTTTTTTTGCACTCAAGAATTAATAAATATTTTTTTTAAATTTTAAAATTTTCTTTACTAATGAGTTTARTTTTAAAATTAGTTAATACGGTCCACCTTAAATTGCGAAACATAATATAATACGATTGTTGCTATATTATAGTATATATTAGTATTATATTATGTTAAAAATTTGATTTTTCAATAATTTTCATAACGTTTTTTTTAATTTTGTATTCGGTCCTCAATGAAAATCTAATAAAAGTTATAGCTTGTGTTAGTTAAAAGTTTTCCGACTTTTGCTACAGAGAATAGTAGATACACCATAAACGATTGACAAAAAGTTAACTGATCTGAAATAGTGAAATCAATGATAAATAATAAGAGTGCCAATCGGTTGTTGTTTTTAGAATTTGTATTAATTTTATATTTTAGAAATTATACGATATTATAGGATTATGATTTTAATTATAATTATTGGTGTATATAAAATAATATATTATGTTCTTTTCCCTTCATAAGACACATACACATTTTTATTTAGTAATAATTACTTCCTCACATATTTTATTTTTTTAAAATTGATAATTGCTATTTCTGATAAATAATCTACGATTATATTTTTATTACCTTTGTAGGTGTTTAATTTAATTTAGGCAGTTTTTTCTATTTGTAATAAATTCAGAATTGACATCAGGTTACAACTTGAAAAGTTGAAACAGATGGAACATAATATAATTTTTATTGTTTAATAAATTATATTTACCTATTGGATAACCTTTGGAAATTTACAAAATCATTTTTTGCACCCTAAATAAAATTCAACTATTTTTATATGTTACCTCTGGTAATATTTGTTTAGTTTATTTTAATGTATAAATACAATTGATAATACTTATATACTTATATATATTTATATAAATGTTATAATATAAATACAATATTTGGTCATWTTAATTCAAAATTGACTGCAGTCTATATAGTTTCCTTCTTTATTTCTAAAGTACCTATCATTATTTTTTTGCTTTTAAATATGCATTTTCCTGCGGTTGCAGTTTTCCCTTCCTATTTTTTAAACAATTTATTTGACTATTTGATAGTTTTATTTTATTTTTTTAAGCTTTGACCAGTTATTTCAGGGAGACTTGTTTAGTCATTCGATAATAAACTAGTTAATGTGTATAAGTTTTTGGATTCAAGAATCTGGAGATTATATAGACTACACTCCTTTACTCTTAGGTATATTATTATAAATTCTGAGTAAACCGATGAATGTGTTGATTTCACGATGATTTAAGTTTTTATTTTTTATCTTGTGTCCGCTAACTTTGAACTTTTTGGACAATAACATGATTTGATTTTTAACTTCAGCTACTTTCTTTGTAAGAAAGTGAATTTATAAGTTTAGTAATTTTGGCCTTTTGGGGTTCAAAACAAAAGTAAAAAAAATCCCAATAGCTTTAATAGTGTCSGAAAAATGAGATTTTTCGCAAAACCGGTTTTCAAAAAAAAGTTTATGTTTTTTAGTGTAACTCTAACAAAACTAATAGTGATACTTGGAATTTAAAAATTTTCGTATTTATCTATATTTTTTAAATTTTTCCAATGAAAAAAACAAAATACTTTGAAATTTAATTCAAGATTTTAAATAAATTTAAGTCATACATTTAGCAAAAAAAGCTTACTGGAGAGTCAAATAAATGTTTTATGAGTGTTTTAACTTTGAAGTTAGACATTGCATGTTCGGCAGTAAATTAAGTATTAACAAATTCTCATGGATATGCTTTCTTATTTAGTTATAATTCAAAAACTATTAACCATAAGAATTTGTAGTCTGTATCTATAAATTTCATTAAAATTTTTTCGTTTGGTTAAAATGTTTGAATATTAAGATCAAATTTTGATAATATTTATTAGACTCAAACATTTCCAAATTATTTTGTTGTGCGTCTATCTCTAAGCACTATTTTTTTATTTACTTAACTGTAGTGTAATTTTTTTGTAAACATTTTCTTAATTTTAAGCTTACTTTAAATACAAATTTTAATATAATAATTGCCATCTTATGGGCTGTAATGTTTCTGATGTGTACAATTAATTTTTCCGATACTACACCACACGAAAAGTATTCAGGATTATGGTTAGCGTTGTATATTGTTGCATATTTCCATACGTCAAGGTTTATAAATTTTTTCCATACATTGCATGTAGTTATCATAATATCTTATATCATACATTTGTACCATAGATTATGCTAGTATAGAAAAAAATATTAATGCAACCAAAAACTAAAAGATTTAGACGACTAGAAGAATTAAATAATAAAATGTAATAGTAACTAATCAATTAGTAATTATTGGATTAATAAGTGTCCAAGACTATAATAGAATCTAAAATAAATCAAATATAAGTTTTATACGCGCACAACATTTAAATATAAAATATGTTATACGCTCACAAAATGTTTTGTATATTGACAATGGAGTTTTTTATTGGAAGAAAAAGTTATGGAGAACTTTGAGTTGGGTATTATAACTTTAGGTATAAATCACAACAATTTTATGGATTTTCAACTTCATAATTCCATGCAAATTTTCACGATTTTGATATATTTTGTAAACATTTTAACTTTAAATGCTTATAAACAAAAATCATAATTTTTGATTTTTTTATTACGATAAGTACAACTTATGATAAACCATGTATTAAATTTGAAAGATTTTATAGAATTTTTTTATAAGTATTTAAAAAAAAAAAAAACTTAGAAAAATTGAAAATTTTAACTGTCCATAAATAATTTAAAATAAGTCAAAATATTTTGAAAATTAAATAGTAAATATATAACGCTAATATAAAAATTACTAGTAATGGTTGAAATGTAGAATAGTAGAATAGTGGTGGCGGGGTGTGCCAACCAGACAAAAGCTGGTTTTATATGAACATACCTGTTTATCTAGTCATTCAATGAAGTATAAAGTAGGTATACTGACACTAAATAAAACATAGCTAATATTTTCTATGTGAATACATTTCGAAAACAAAGCTATTATAAAGGCATAAACTATTATAAGCATAATAGAACATATTGGTATAAATTTATTTAAAAAAAAAATATAAAATAATATAGATACTATATAATATTATTATGTACAAATAAATAAATATATTTATTAAGTATTAACAATGTTAAAAAATATTCGTAAATGGTATCAAAAAATAAACACAAACGTTATTATAGTAGTTATACATCTACGATCTACCAGACTTCGCTCGGGAATTATAATTAATAAAACTAACTAAAGTATATTTTATTTCACTAGGCATATCTGGCATCATTGATATATACATTTTTCCATAAAACTATGCTTACAACTTTCTCTCTAATGTGCTTTTTAAATTGAATAAGCCCGTTTGGTAATTTTCGATATTATCCAAGACATAAAAAAAAAAACTTTGTTTTATACATACAAAGATATTCGTTCAATATAAACTTTATCATTGTTAACATAATATAATATCTGAATAATGCATGTATCTAAATCTCATTTTATGTTTATGTACTATGTGCATACAATAAATTACAGTATACCATATTATATTTGTATACCTACATTTTTTTCTGTCCTCGTAATCCATCGAGATTTGATGTAATGAAAATCAGTAAGTTTTTAATATAATTAAAAAACATTTTGTACATACAAAGTTCACCAGTATTGAATTAAAAAAAAAAATAAAACGATTGAGCGTTTGTTTTTATTTGAAAAACTCCGAAATTTCTTGTAAGGTTTTGTTTTCAGTTTCTGGTAAGCAAAAATAAAAATATACACAGCCAAATAAACCAACAATACCAATTGTAGTAAATACATTATAAAATTCCAATAATAATGACAAATCCGGGTAATATTTTGTCATGAAAAAGGTTATGATAAAACATAAACACGTACTAATACTGCACAAAATATTTCTACTCCTGAAATAAAAATAAAAAATTTATTTTCATGATTGATTATATACACTATAATTTACGACGAAAATTATTCTATATAATATTTTTTATCAAATTAAAATATAAAATGTAATTATCGTTTAGAATAAAAACGTTTTATAATTTTGAATTCCCATCACGCTAAGAGTTACTAGTGGGTGACTTCTTAATCACGTATACCTATCATGTGTCTTTTTTTGTCTCTTATCACTTATACTCATTATGCTAAGAAGTATAGATTGTATAATTATTATAAAAAATAAAAAATAATTTTGAATAAGTATTGTATTATACAAAGTTATTATCAAGCATCTTCACCCCATATTTTCCCTTGGTGTAATCCATAATCAATTATTTAGTTATTTTTTAAATCATCAATTATTAACAATATTTTCAAATACTTGATCATTTGTGGATTAAAGAAGTCAATATTAATAATCTATTAAAATTTTACAATTTATAAAAAATGTCAGAGTATAGTAAGTATAATAGAATACATTTTGCAACTATTTTTTATATTTTTGTTCATGAAATAATTTTTTTTAGGATAATTATTTTAGAATGTTGGTTGAATGTAAATTGGGACCTAGTGTGGCGCGGTGGTTGCACACAATTTCAAATGTGGCTCTCGACATTTTTTACGACAAATCATTTCCTCCCCAAATAAAAAACACACATTCCAATCGAACCAACCGTAAGCCCAACACAAACAAAATGACACATGTTACTGAGTTTTGTCAAAAAAAAAAAAATTGAGAACTGGAAAATTATTCATTCAAAATACGTTGAATTAAATAGACATATTAAAATGTACAGAAAAAATCCAATAGCTTAACAATATGTTTATTAAAAGCTTATGTTTTTTGATTTTTATTTGAAAACAAAACGAGGATTTGTATCGCCAATCAAATACTCCTTAAAAAAGAACTAAATATTTAGGTATTTGAAAATATAGTAGTTTACTTAAAAACTCAAAAAATCAGAATTTTTATAAATTTAAAATATAAGAAAACTGGAGATGAGTAGTCTCGGTGAATCATTACAATCATTTTCCAAAAATTTACCTAATACAAGTGAACAAAATTCAATAATTACTTTATTAGAATCATTCATAATTGTTTGTCTAGAAATTAAAATTTTTAGTGTTAAAATGTTTATTTAGACCATTTATAGTAATTTAAAAATTTTCAATTGAAATTTAAAAAATATTTTAAAATGAATGAAAAAAATATCAAAAGTAATTATTTCTTACATTTTGTTTTGCTCAACTGTGTTAAAAATAATAAATTCAGGTGAAATATATAAAAATATCGTAATAAAATATATACGTTTAATTTTTAATACAGTTTTGACTTACTTTGCTGGAAAAATTTCTGTTACAAGGGTCCACGAGATTGGCGTTATTCCAACTGATGAAATAAAAATGGTAGTAAGAAAAAGTACTAGTACTATCCAAGAGGTTATTGGTTCTGCATTTTTCCAATAAACACCGATCAGCCCAATTGTTATATATAAAATAGAACAAATCGATAACGTAAATAACGTGAGAAATCGTTTGCCTAATTTACGTATTAAAAAAACCGCCATTAAACTCCCTACTACAGAAAGAGCCATAGAGAATGACTGAAAATAAAATTGAATGCATTAAAAAAACAAAACAAAATATTTAAATAACGTTAGTCGAGTAAAAATGTGATAGACAAGTACGCAACTCAAAAACTAAAATCATGGCTAACTTACTATTGTCCATTCAACGTTAACTGGCGCTTCAAATTTATGAAGTATTGAAACTAAATATGGTAATAATGGCAATCCAGACACTAAATTCATGAAAAAGAAATATATCATCATCAAACGAAAAGGTTTCATGACTTCGGGCTCAAACATATGTTTCCAAATACCTATATCTTCTTTACGATCTATAAAAATGTAACAACCTGTTGAGCTACAATAAAATAAAATAATCTGTGTAATGGAAAATTAATGATATTACTCGGATCGTCATTTTTGGAGGGCGAATTGTATCTGACCATTTCTTGAAATTCATTTTCACATTTTTCGTACGAAACTTTTCCCCTCAATCTGCTAAGGTTTCGGTGAGCTTTTGAATGTTTTCCCTTGGCCAATAACCACACCGGAGAATCTGGCGTCTAAAATGTATCATGGTTTTGGTTGATTATTATTGAGCCGTAGGAAATACCGATTGCATATGCCTGATTACCGTTAATGATAAAGCAATAGTCAAAATTGGAAACACCGTGGTCAATAGCACTGTCAATCTCCATTGCATGGTAATACTGTACACCATAGTCAATATTATGGATCCACCATAATAAAATATGTTTAGGGCCGAAATCAACGCGCCTCTTAGTTTTGGTTCGCATACTTCACCGGCGTACGCAAGACTCGGAGCGTTCGAAAACCCTAAATTCAACGCCATCAGGATTGAGCTGACGTACAGCATATCTATGTTTTCGGCAAAGTACAACATCATCTGAGCTACTATGCCCGGTATGTTTGTCATTATCATACACTTCTTGTGGCCAAATCGGTCCAGTAAAAACAAAGATAGAATATTACCCACAGGTGTGAACAAATATAACAAACTAGCTGAAATGTCATAAAATATTTTTTAATATATTATTTCAAAATATTTATTTTGATATGATTATAAAAAAGCATTCTTTTTGCACTATTTTAATAATATAATTACTAATTKGCTTATAAGAGCTATTGGGGGTTAAATAATTTAACAAATTTAATGGAGKTAAAGTTAAAAATGTTTAATTTACAGTTTAGTATACCTTTATGTATACCATTTTATGCTTTAGGTTATTTTTTTTAGAAAACAGGTACCTGATATATTATATTTTTATAGATACTATCTCAAAAAATAAGTGTTATAAATATATTTAATTTCCATTTTTTTTTGTATTAATTTTTCATTATTGTATTTTAGTTGAAACAAAATAGCTGGTATACCATCCATACGGATGAATTTTGTTGCTGAATAGAGGTTGCGTATTGATATTTGATTGATATACTCACCGAACCAAGATGCTTCTTCACTTGTCATTCTCAAAAATTCGTTTGAGTCTTTGGATGCGTTATTCTCTAAGGCCCCAATAACTATAGTGGAGATCATGACTTGAGCACCGAGTTCTATTTGTAAGAACCAAGCTCCTGATATTGCCCAACACTGTTTAGAAATGTATACATTGAATCGTTGTATAAATTATCGCACTTAAATAAATACATAATATTATATTGATATGTATGACTACTTTTATTTATTTTTTATATAGGTATCACTCGCTGTTTCAATTAATACAAAATTTGAATTTATTTCATTATTATAAATAACAGACTTACCTGAGCTAAAGTTGATTTTATTCCATATTGATAATGCTTACTTTCATCTATATTGTTAGATGGCATGGTGTTATTTGTTCTGTAAAAAAGTAATATTAATTAATAACAACAATTTTGTGGTATACGTTATACAATATTGCAATATTCTAGTTAAATTCAAACATAAAATAATAATCTAATATTTTGAGTATCTGCTTATAATAGAGTATAAAGTGTTGGGTATTCTATCTAAATTCTTAAGTACTAAATTTATCAATTCAAGTATCAGTTTATGATTAAAAATAAATATTATATAAAACTAGAATTTAAAAAAAAAAAGAAATTTTTACTTTTAACTAATTTTATAAAATGATTTCTTATTTATGAACAGAAAATGCCCTTTTATAAATAGTATGATTTATTGAAACTTAAATAATAAGTTATTTTTTTATAGATACTTTAAATTTAGCTATAATCATTTTAGATTTTTATGGAAGTATCAATTGTATCAATATTATTTTGAAATTTTTTTTTTGATCTTACATACGAGCACAATACATATCGATGTACTTTTCTGATTAAATTCACTAACTTTTTAGGTATTTTTGAGATAATTGGTATTTTTAGTTTTCAAGAAAATTCAGGATATCAATAATTAATTTAAAAATAGTGTAGTTTGCTCTTTGAATAATAAAAAATCATTTTAAAATTATTAAAAAAATAATATTTAATTACAAAATATATTGTTTTATTTATTTAAAAATATAAAATATCACGCCGATGTTAAAACTAGAAATATTTAATTTTTGCATTATTTATTAATTTAGGCTGTAACAGTTATTTATCATATTTTTTACTTTGTCAAAGGCATTGCAATTTTTTTTTTAAACATTTTCTTGTGCCTGCGAATAGTTAAAAATAATAAAATTATTTTATTTCTCGTCCGTTTGTTATGTTTAAATTAATATTATATTTATTTTAATTATTCTTAAATTAAAATAAGAAGAATGTACTCAACATAAACACAATTTTCCAAAAAAAAACACACCAGATTTTTACTAAGACGTTCAATTGAATCAGCTTATGCGATTATCACTCAACGACCAACGTATACTGATTTTAAAACTAGTATGTTATAATATAATTTATTGCATGTAATTAATATTGCGGCCATCTAAGTGTTTCATACTATCTTTCATCGTAATCCTTTTGATAACAACACGTTGTTAAATAAAATTTAGTTTAAACATTGCTCTGTTATCATCAAATTCACTGTTGCCGCCAATCTATTCAACCTTATATATCTTTACTATTTATATGTTCATTAATGACGCATAATCGTTAACCATCTATCCATTTAAATTATATCTATATTTTGTTTAAAAAAATATTATAATACTATGTAAATATATATCCTCATGACATTAAATATGTTAGTAAAAAATTTAAAAACAATTTTTGGTTCTCATTTAAATTAGATATATATATATTAGATTCTGAGCGGAGCGATGAATGTATTGATTTTACCATGATGTGTGTGTTTTTTTTTGTGTCTGTCATCACGTTTTGGGGCAGTAAAAGTACTTCGATTTTCGACTTCAGTACCGCGTTCGATTAGAAAATGAATCTAGTTGGTACTATGAGGGGTAAGAAGTAAAAAATTCCCAATATGCTACTGAATAATCGGGATAAAAACTAAAATTAAGGAAAAACGGGAAATTTTACGCGCAATCAGTTTTCGACAAAATCGATTTTGGTTTTCGATGTAACTTTAAAACAAATGAACATACAAACATACATATAACTTTCATATACACGAAACTTTCAGCTTAAGTTGAACTATTTATGGGCATATGCAATTTTCGATCATTATTAGTTTTCTTTAAATTAATATCGATAAAAATTTATTTGTGGGGTACAAAAGTTTGAACATTTAATTCAAGACACATTGTTACAATTGCAGTTGAAAAATATTAAAAATACATATGCACCATTTTTTTTTTTATAAGCATTCAAAGTTTGAATTTTGACAACACACGTAAAAATCACGAAAATTACCAAAATTTATAAAAATTCATAAAAAATTTTCTTTTCAAATCTATGATTTTTAATTATCTATAATATATCCTAGACAGATAAACCGTCTCCACTCAGAATTTTTTTCCTTATACAATGATATTATATCATTGGATTCAAATTTAATTCCATCCTTACAGTAACCCACTTTTGTAACCTACTGTACAGCAGAGCGACATCCACGACTTACCTCCTTTTTATTTATTATAGCAACTGTATAACCCAATTTCACACCTGGAAAAAAAAATGAAAAAACGTAAATTACGATGATATATCGGTGTATCTAGGTTTTAGAAGTAACGAATTTATAAAACACTCCAAATCACAAGAAATCTATCGATATACCTAATTATTATTAAAATCGATCCAGTAGTTTCTGAGACAAACGCGTTCAAACATACAAGCAGTTCGTTATAGGATCTTCTGGTTTTCTTTCTCTTTTTTTGTAAATTTAAATTCTGATTGAATTGCATAAATATATTATCATTGATCTTACAACAAAGTAGTTTATTTGATTTTATTTCTATGAACACTTTTTCGAGTAGATGGCTGCACAAGGTGCAGTAATCCTATATATCGGATATTAAATCAAAAGTTGTTGGTACTTCGAAGAAGTAATTTTTAATTATATCCATTGTTTTTTCAAACATAAGAAAAGATTATAAAGAACTATTAAAGAACAAAAAAATAAAAAAATCATGATAGTATAGTCAATATTATATGAATGTTGATTGTTTAATCAAAAGATTAATTAATTAGTTTACCCAAGACTTAATACTTATACATACATTTATCAGACTTTTATAAATATAAATATATATATATATATATATATATATATATGTTATCTTGTAGAATTATGATTAATAAACATTAAAGTTTCTGCAATTAGGTGTAAGTGTACAAAAAAGTTTTTTAAGCTCTACTTAAAAGTGCTACAATATTTGGAATAGCAAAATCAATAACACCTAATAAGCAATACATTATATCCTATAAGTTAAACTGTTAAACTATTTAAAAACGAATAATGAATACAAAATGCACTACCATTTAACATGCAATAATAATAATATAATAATATATTATTTTATTAGGTATAGATAGATATTAAAATAAAATATTTACAATCATTTAGCAGAAAAATAGCCTTTTTCTAATTTACTATGGACTATGATTTTAAATCTTAAATTGTGCACTATCAAATGAACAACGGTTGGATATCGCTCATGGATTGGAAATGATAGAATACACCATACTGCTTTATTACTACTGATATATCATCGCAGTTGATATTGGTTGATTTCATCTATATATCCAGTTGTATTTTCCACATTGAAAACTGTCATATCGCTTCCCTTGTTGAGATATTATTTACAAATGCATTGGATCGATTTCACCGAATTGCAATACTCAACATTGATGTTTGCTTTGAACGTCTTCGAAAGTAACGATGAATAAGGTATAATCCAACGATTATCCACTTCAACATCATGGTTCCGTATTTTTAAAGTGATTGTCTTGGCAACCAAAGTTCTTGGTATCGTTTTGTGTATTTACCATTAGACATGCATAGTAAATTGTTGTTATGTACACCACATGGGCAATGCTTTATATTATTTGTGATGCCTTCAAATAAATCTGGATCTCTGTTGGAATCTGGTATTCCTGCTGAGATGACCTGATAAATTTAGTTTGGTGTGAGTTTTATGATCAGCCAAATTAAAATATGTGCCTGTGGCAATCCTCGTTTTTGTCACTCAATTGAATACATCCAACAGCATGTCTCTCCAAAAACCTGATGCTTAACAATGGAATCTATTAAAGATTTCAATTTTTGTTTGAAAACACGTGTGATGATATAATGACGATTCAAAGATGATTGTATAGGTAGCAATAATTCTATAATTTCTTCCCACGTAAGATTACATTCGAATGTAATAAACAGATCTGAACGGCATAACATATAGACAATATATTGATGAAACAACTGTCGACATTTCAAGATATTATTTTCAACGTTTTCACGAATCATTAAACGATAGGAATAGTAATAACCTAACCTTGCACTTTGAATGTTGCCATGTAATTGCCGCGCATAATATCGGGGCAACGAATATAGTCATTTGGAAACATGAATTGTATTTTTGCGAATGTTCGCTAAGAAATGTTTTGATATGCTCCTATCGCCTGATAACAACGTTGATAATAGTGGTGTACCTATGTAATTCTGGCAATTTTACTTTTCCGCCGGCATAGCACACACCTGGACTGCCTCATTCTTAAACATGAATGCTCTACAATAAATGCATATAATTTATCAATTTTTCCAATAACCACAGTTGGACGAATGCTGTAATTATAGTTAATATCGTAATGGAATGCACTGAGATTCAAATCTGTGTAAGTGATTCGTCCGTATTGAGCATTTTATTTATTTATCGTATGGCATATTTTGACACATAATATACATAAAAAATTGTAACATGGAATAAAATAAGAAGAATAGAATAAAATAAAATAATCCATATAAAAAATAGTCTATCTAAAAATGATGGTAATATAAAACAATCACTATTGTGTAGTTCAATATTTTCTCTACAGTCTGATGTCCAATCAAGAGCTTCACTTGTTAGTCTAAAGAAATTATTGAGTATTGAGCATGAAGTTGTCTGTCTGTTTCCAATCTTGCATATCGTCGCTCAATTGTTTCAGATGCACGCGTTAGTACGTGAAGTTGTCTGTCGATTTACAATCTTGCATCTCTTGCTCGATATTTCTGAAGCTCGTATTGCCATTGTCTTTCGTGCTAACCTACGCCATTAAATAATTATTGTAGTACCAATCGTCGCGTCCTACTCTACGATCACTACACAAATTCTCTGTACCAAATTTCGTCCCAATTCCGTCCAGCCGTTTAGGAATACAAACATAAAAGTGAGGCAGACAGACAGATAGACAGAAATTAATTTACAGATGCGTATTTAGGCACAGGCCCTATATAGGCCCGGGCCTAGAGCGGCCACATTGGAGGGTGGCAAATTTCAACAATTTTTTTTTTACAAAATTATAAAAAGTATTTTTCATTTGATGAAATCAAACTCAACTAATTTTTTTCCGCTCAAAATGAATCGACTATCTACATGTATCTCAATGTATCTTTTTAATATAATATTATAATACAGGGTGATTCTTTTATCAAACAACACTCATTATTTAAAAAAGTATTGACTTTTTTCAAATTTTTTTTTTTCAAAATTGTAGATTTACACTCTTCTTGAATTGTTTACTTTTTTAAAATATTTTTCACCCTTATATTTATTAGATAAACCACTATAAACTTTTGATTTTCAAATGATAACCTATTTTTAAAATTTCATAAATTAATAAAGCTATTTATTAATTATTACGTTAAAATTTCGAATTTAGCGCTAGTAGTTTATGAGTTATAGGTATTTAAAGTTTAGATTGGCAGAGTGGAGTGGTACGGGGTTACCCCGCAAAATTTTTGTCCACTACTCTGCTTGTCTAAACTTTAAATACTTAAACTCATAAACTACTCGTCCTAAATTCGATTTTTATGTATCAACATTTTTAGAAAAATATTCTGCTTTGGAATATGAAATTAAAAAACTATGTTGCCATTCAAAAAAGTAAAAACTTAAAAAATGACAAGGATAAAAAATATTTAAAAATATAATTTTTTAATAAAAGCGTTGGTTTTTTAACAACTTGAATTTATGTAAAAAAATATTTTGAAAAAAGTCCATACTTTTTTAAATAATGAGTGTTGTTTGATAAAAGAATCACCCTGTATAATAAATTGTATATTTAAATATGTTTTATAAATAATTGTAGGAAGGATGAAGGGGAGGAGAGAGGCGGCGGATTGGAATGTGCCTAGAGGCGGAAAAACCTTAAATACGCCACTGTATATACAGATATAATAAGCAAATAGATGGTATGGTTCGAGGATGAGGTCATTCTTTTGGGTTAAAACTAAGTAGGTATATGGTAATTAAAATCGA